CGCTTGAAGCAACTGGCACCGTGCTGTCGTGCTCCCTTGCACACACGCGTTCGGTCACCGCCTATGCCGTGGCCTGAGCCCGATCAGGTGACGAGGTCCGTGGCTTTGGTGATCTCCCGTTCGTCCTCACACGATCACAATCAAAATATAATTTAACGAAAAGTTACATATTTCGTTTCTACACCCACAGATGGGTTTACATGTTCATATAAAAATAATTAAATCTATCTGATGTCGCACCAGTCGAATAATTATTACAAATATTCAACCATAAAATTTCTAGACATGTCCGAGGCTTTTAAACACCAAAAAACAACAAATCAAACACAATTTTGGCCATAACAATGGATTAAACTAGTTCATGCAAAACCAAATTATGCGAATATAATTCAATTTTATGGTTGTACTTGAACACACGTTGTCACATAAAACCGTAAAAATTTGAGCATTGTACAAAACAAATTAACCATGGCTCTAATAACACTTGTTGGGACCCGCAAAGATCTCGTTATGTATAAGTCACGAATTGGATAATCAACAATAAACTTATGCGCAACGAACCTAGAGGTTCAAAGTTGAGAAATTACGGCTTAAAAATTGCAGACTCAGAGCCTTTGTAGATTTCTAGTGTTGGAGGTCGTCTGAACTCTCCAAATCCATTAGGCAGTCAGATCAATGCCTCGTCAGACGTCACGGGGTTGTCGGGTCGTCACGCCAGGTGCTGCGTGTGGGTAGGGGGGACCATCGGTGCAGTTAAGTCAAAAACCGCACTGCACCGAAATATACCGAAAACCGAATCATTAAAATTTCTTTACCGAACCGCACCGCAATAGAAGGAAAAACAGAACCGAAAATTTCGGTTCTGTGCGGTGCGGTTTTTCTATTAACTGAAATTTAAAAAAAGATAACCACCAATTATGTAATGTAAGTAAAAGTGTAAAAATTAAGGTGACACATTATTAAAAAAAATAACATTTTATGACATTCTGTGCGGTTCGGTTAAAACCGAAGCCTTCGGATAGAAAACCAAACCGCACTGAAATATTTGCGGTTTTTCAAAACTCAAACCGCACCGTTAACCGAACCCTTCAAAAACCGACCGAACTGTACCGAATAGCTCGGTTCAGTTTTTTGATTTCAGCTCAGTTTTGCTCACCCCTACGTGTGGGATTGTCGCGGTCG